ACTGTCAAATGATATAAAGAACAATACATAGTAATAGTCAAATATTTATAGGAAAATTATAAAAGATCACTAGCAACTATCAAATGATACTAAGGACAACACTTAGAACGTGCATATTAACTGTCAAATGATAATGGGAAAATTATTAAACATCCTTAGCACGTGTCAAAAGATACTAGGAAAGAACATAATACATCCTTAACAACTGTCAAATGATATTATTTACAACACATAAAACGATCTTAGCAACTGTCAAATGATAATAGCAAAAGTGAAATAATAATAAGAAAAACATAAGACATCCTTATCAACTGTCAAATGATATGAAAAACAGCACATAGAACGTGCATAGTAACAGTCAAATGTTTATAGGAAAATTATAAAACGTAATTAGCAACTGTCAAATGATATTAAGAACAACACATAGAACGTGCATAGTAACTGTCAAATGATATTAGCAAAAACATAAGATTTTCTTAACAACTGTCAACTGATATGAAGAACAGCACATAGAACGTGCATAGTAATAGTCAAATGTTTATAGGAAAATTATAAAACATCATTAGTAACTTTCAAATGATACTAAGAATAACATATAGAACGTGCATAGTAACTGTCAAATGACAATAGGAAATTTATTAAACATCCTTAGTAACTGTTAAATGATATTATGTACAACACATAAAACGATCTTAGCAACAGTCAAATATTAATAGCAATAGTCAAATAATATTAGGAAAAACATAAGACATCCTTAGTTACTGTCAAAAAATAGAAATACACTAATTATAATAGATGATTTAAAATAAGCAAAAAAGATACCAAAATATAATTTTCTTTATTTTTTAAAAGAAATTATATATTTTTAATGAATCAAGAAATAAAATTAAATAATTTTACTTAAGTTATTAATTACGTAAATCTTAAATTAAATGTTGTATATTTTGTTTAACTTAAGACGATTATTGTTATTTTGTAAATTGTTTAACTTAAATTAGGTCAATAATGATTACGTAAGTTTTCGGATGGAATTGATCTTGTGTGTTTTTTATTATTGTTTAACCATGCGTTAAGAAGATAATTTGTGCGTGTGCTATGGTAGACAATTGATTGAAACGTACAAAATAAAATAATGGTAAACAAAGTGCGGATGGTGAGAGGGGACCTTGCAAGAACGTTCCGAAATTCATTTTAGTATAAAAGCGCGGCACGCTTCATTTACCAGCACAGTCTTAACAGTCCTATCTAAAAGGAGGTTTAAGTAAATCATCAAACATGAAATTCTTGGTATGTTCTTAAATTATCATTCAATCTTTTTGGTTTTCACTAATTAGTTTTATATCTATTCTTTAGATTGTATTCGCTTGCGCTTTGGCTGCTGTATCTGCTGGATATGTATCTCCAGTTGTCTATGGAGCTCAACATCTTCCTCTGATTGGAGCTGATGGTGTCCCAGTTGATACCGCTGAAGTTCAACACGCCAGGGCTGCCCATTTGGTCCATAAAGTCAATGTACAAGCTCGCAACGGTGACTACTTTCATCATGGACTTGTAGCTGCCGCTCCAGTTGTTGCCCATACCGGATATTCTGCCCATTTGGCTGCTCCAGTTGTTGCCCATCATGGTGTATACTCTGCCCATCACGTCCCAGCTGCCTACCCAACCACCCACGTTCTTCCAACCAGCGTTAACGGAGTCCCATTGGAAACCCCAGAAGTTGTAGCCGCTAAAGTCAACC